ATGACATAAAATTTTAAAAAGCTATTACAAAGACTGACCAGGAATGTTACTTGTCCCTCTCCATCCCCACCCCCATTCATGCCTCTTTTTTCTACCCATTTGTTGTTTTTCTCACAAAGTATATCTTGACTTGTAACATTTTTTTAACTTTAAATGAACCCCCCCAAAAAAGAGCCTCAAACAGAAAAAGAGGTTAAAAAAAAAATTCACCTTCCACTATTAACTACATAGCAGATAAACTTGTAAAGCTATTCTAAATATTCAAAGACTTATGAATTAAAAATGTAAATTGAATCCAAGTAGTCGGGGAGGAGGGACTATAGGAGGATGAGTGTGGAAGGAATGAACAGATTGAGACTACCTAATTTTCAACACCAATTTTTTTCTCTTCAAAGCTGTCCGTGGTTACACCTCAAATGGTTTCCTATGGAAGAATTTCTCCCTGTACCTCGAAATAACTGAACGTTTTCAGGAGGAAATGCAAGTTTAGGATGAAGATTCGCAAAATGAAAGTGTTAAAATGCAAACTACTTCTATAGCAATTCAAATGTAAAATCACAGCCCTCACTAACTTTAACTGACTCCTAAGGGGTCTTTTCAAATAGATGCCATTTATGAACATCATCTGTTAACTTTCTTATAATTCAAAACTCTTGTCAAATGTTTTCATGTGTAAATGTAATATTCCATTAGAGATAAATTCCAATTGGTTTTTAAAAAGCCACCTTGGGAAACAGTACTGCATAATACACAAACTAGTAATAGGTATTTTAGAAGGAATTTCTGTAAAGTCTATTTATAAATCTAAGTCGAAATTACTCTTATGCCCAAGTAAGGTTTGGGCCAAAGGATTGAAATTATTTCTTCACGAGTTTTAACGCACGACGACTTTGATTTTTGTCTTCAAGACTCGCAAGCACTTGTTGGAAATTTTCATTTTTTAAAACTGACGTTTGCCAGAAATGTTCTTTCCACTTGCCTCATAAAATAGTTCCTTAGGTGCGGTGCAATTATTTATTTCCAAAACGTGGTTTAAAAGCAAATGTCACGTTTTTCCCCTTTGAACGTCACTGTTTTGAAAATGCATTTCACGTTAACAAATCAAGCTTCGTTTTGTTAGGGATAGCTCAGCCCTTCCTTTTAAAATTAGACTTTTTGTATACAACAAAGAGCTGAGTAATGGCAAATAGAGACAGCGAAACGTGCTTTTCCGAGCTCCTTTGAACCCCGACATTTATTTTCGAATCCATACAGTTAAAGATATTTAAAATATAATCTAATCTAACTTTCCGGACACGGGCAGGGGAGGGCCCACATTTGTGTTTATCTAGTTATCACTTCATAAACATTTCCATGCTGTTTTCCCTCATCTTTTAATGTGCCTTTGCAGGCTTGCCCAGCTTCCTCCAATTCAGAGGCACGTTGTGAAGCCTCCTTCTCCCCCGTCTGGAGTTGGGAACCCCTCTCGGGCCGAGTTTGACCACAAAACTTGCCGCGCGGACCCGACCCGGCCCGGGCGCGGGAGTTCGGAGGCGGGGGGGAGGTGGGGGGCGGTTCGAGTCGGGCCGCGGGACCCTCCCTCGGGAAGGACGGGCTGGGCTCGCGGCTCCGCCAGGGCTGAACAATGGGCGGCCGCGGGAGCGGAGTCCAGCTCCAGCTTCCTCCTCGGCCTGGGCCTCCCGCCCGGCCCCCGCCCCCCGCGTCCTCCCGGCCCGCCGCCGCCGCCGGCCGCCCGGGCGCCCCGGCCCGCGCCCCGCCGCCCATTCCGCAGCCCCCCACTCCGCGGCGCGCCCCTCGGCGACTCGGGCTTTCGCCGCGGCCGCCTTCCCGTTATTTTGAGACTGTATTGAAGCCTTTTCTCCCTTATTTCCAGACGCGGCCGAAGGTCTCATTCTCATCTTAATTTCAATTTGCTCCTTCCCTCCGGGAGAGTCCTCGGGAGAGCCCGCGTCCGGGAGGGAGGCTGCAAACCCGACAGACCCTTTACCTCTACACCTCGGGGCTTTTTGGTTTTTATTTTGACGCATTTACGGCGTCCAAATGGACCCCCCCCCAAAAAAAAATCCCCCTTTTCATTTCCCCGTGTAAAAACTGCGATTTTAAGCTCCATCAAAGCACTTTGACGAGCGGGCCGAGACCGTGTCCGGCGGCGCGCGGCAAACCAGCTCTCCTCAGCCTCCCGGACGAGAAAGTGCAAAGTGGGCGCGGGAGCTTCTAGGGAAGACAGGCAGCTCGCTGGGGCGAAGTCGGGCCGGACCGGGCCGGGCCGGGCCGGGGTGGGGCGGGGGGCAGAGGGGCGCGGCCGGGGCGTCGCGGGCCCGGGCTCCGCGCGCGGGAGCCGGGCTGGCTGCGGCCGAGAGGAGGCTCGAGGCAGCGGGGCCGGGAGGGCGCGGGGCCTCTCTGAGAGGACGGGGCGGCGGGCGAGATTACTTTGCTTCCTCAGCCCCCAAGAAAAAAATTAAGTTGAAGGGAGGGGGAGAGAACAGCCACCGCATTTCCTCCCCTCGCTTCCGCGCTGGACGGAGGCTCCGCGGGCAGGGAGAGGGCGCGGGGCCGGGCGGACCAATAGTCAACAGGTTCGGGCCTCGGCGGGGCGGCGGGGCCGGACCGCCGCCCCCCTCCGGGTCTCCTCCCCCCGGCCCCCTCTCCCCGCCTACCCCGACACTCCCCTCCCCCCGGCCGGCCCGGCAGGGAGGCCCAGCTCTGCGCTCGCCGCCCCACCCGGCTTCACCGCTCCCGCCTCGGCCGGGGCTCTCGGGTGGAGGTGGGGCGGGGGTTCCCCGCCGGAGAATCCTCCCCCGGGGCTGGCGGCGGGGGGGAGGGGATGGAAATCGGGGAATGGAGGATTAAGGAGGACTCGAGCTCGGCACGAGCACGGCCCGCGCAAGGAACCCTGGGTAAAAAGTGGCCGCGCGGCACCGGGAGAGCGCGGAGAGGAGCCGGGGTCAGGGGTCAGGGCCCTGGAGCCCCGCGTGCAGAGCCCCCCACGTGAACGCAGCGAGCGGGAGAAACCTTTTTGTTTTCGACCGCGCCAGCATGCTCCCCTATTGACCGAGCTGCTTTTCCCCGGCCGCTGGAGAGCGACTCCATCCCGGATCCCCTAACCCCACCCCCACCTTCCACCGCGAACACACAGCCCAACTCTACCCTTCCTCTCAACTCTCGTCCCAGCCACCCGTCCCGGGCTTGCAATAACGCAGTAAATTTGCTTTAACAACAAGTGGGGGTGGTTGCATTTACTCCTCCCTCTCCTTTCTCCTCCCCCTCCTCTTGTTGCGGCTCTTGACACTACTACAAACCAGGACTATAAACATAAACATGTGTCACTGTAACTGGGCAGGTAATATACGGATTGGGGTGAGGTGGAGGGGGGCTTGGTCGCCGCTTGGGGGGCAGTAAAAAATGGGTTTCACGTGCTCGACGGCTTTGGAGGCTCCCCACACACACACCGATCCATGTATATAATGCCGACGGCACTCGGTCACTGGCTCATTCAGCCACACAAACCCACAAAGGCTTGCCGATAACCACCGTGTTTAAAAGCAAATAACTTAAACGCGAATCTCTCCTTTCCCAGCCGCCGCTGCCATTTCTTCTATAGCAGCAGCGTCAATACTTGAATCCCCTTTCCTTAAAAAAAAAAACAAAAAAAAAAAACCCTTTGCTTGATAGCAATAGATAACATTTTTCTAGATAACCAGTATAGCGCTCTCGTCCCACAAACAGTACCTGCACATTTTTGTGCGCAGAAATCCTTTCAAACAGCAGGGAAGAGTATTAGTTAAATGACTGAGTTCGAAATCTGGCATGTTAAGATTATTTCTTGGGCTTTGCTTTCATGCCTTTAGCAACTTCTGCTGTAAGTTGCTGTGACTGGCGCCGTGGAGATTCGCCAAGGCAAGCCGTCATTATTATTATTTAGTCTATATTTACACTGCCGCTCAACTTTTTTCTCATTCTTAGTTCAACAAGCTTAGCAACAACTACTTAAGGTAGTGTAAAGCGGATCCCCTCGCAAGCTTTCGGGCTTGAAAGGAGGGAGATACAGAAAATGTTCAGATGGAGAAGGAGTTTCCTTTGTTCTTTCATTGTTTCTCTACGAACTGGTGGATACAAGGGTAAACACTTACCTTCTCTTCTTTTTGCTCCAAAAGCAGGTCGTTCCCATCAGCCTTAAAATACACAATCCACCTTGAAAGTAACTAGGAATGTCGGGAGAGTTTGTATTCCATTCTTTTTCGCTCCGTGCCCTCTTTTAGCGTAGGATTAAGTTGCCGAGCACGTTGCTGCAAGCTGTAGCCCCCCGCCTTCATGAATCGGTCACGTTTGGGACCCTCTAAGTCCATCCTAATTCTGCCAGTAGAATTGAGGGTATTGGAGTTCTAAACTTTCAAAAGGAAAGGGGCCTGCAACTATTCAGAAAACTTACAAATACCCTGATTTTCTTTACCACTGTATTTTTGTGCCACATCATCAAATAGAATCTGCCAAGAAATATTAGATATTTCTTCAAGGAAAGTTTTAAGTTTATGCTTAGCAATGCGCTATTTCAAACAGATGGCGTAAAAAGGGTGGCTTGTATGGACATTTAACGGAACGAGTGTGTTTTTCATGCTTGCTATTCCATGTGTTTTTTAAAAAACAAAACACCACTAGAACAGAAAAAGGGAGGAAACAGAAGTTTGAATTATAATGCTATGGAGTGACGTAAAGAGAGGCATCTATTTGAAATTTGTTAATGGAAAAATAGGCCTTAAACGGAAAGGTATGCATTTCAAAGTTGAGAAGGCTTAATTTTCACTGATTCCAAATTTTAGAAGTGACTTTTCAGGTTAGTGTGTGATACTTGTCAGCGTTCAATACCTAGCCTGGTGGGCATTACTATCCAAACCTTGTTTAAATCTGATTACGATGTGATTTGTTGAAGTCATGAATATAAAATGATTGCTATGTATCCATAAATTCAAACTTGGGATTTTTTTTTTTTTGATCTCCCGCTTTTTTGTGTGTGCCCAGTAGCTGCAGCAGTGGAAGGCAGTGATTGGCTCCAGTGCTCCTAGAAGGATTTGGGCTGAAGCCAGGAGAACAGAACCAGAGGATTCCCTTTCCAGAGACCATCAGGCCCCACATGTCTTATCTCTCCTTTCTCCCCTCAGGGGTGCTCAGAATTTCAGTATGGCATCAGCAGCCCATAGGTAGGTCTCAACACTTAATGTCATCACATCAGCTTTAACACATTTGACCCTTGTAGAAAATAAACAAAAATTGGGGCAACTCAAATAAATTGTGAGTTTTGATATTTGTGTATTATTTAATGTATCGACGTTGGGTTCTACTTTCTCAGATTTTTTTTTTTTCTATATTTAGGATCAATTGTGAGCGGCCCTAGTGTCTCATAGGAAAATATTGCAACAAAACAAGATAATTGGGGGAAAGGCTGTTGCAGTAGGAAAAATGGCTTTTCTTTGATAGCGTTTAATTGGAATTAAAAGATTCTTGAGCTGTAAACATTCTTTATTTATTCAGCACACATAAGCAGGCATTGTTTTACCACCATCATAATTATGGTGTCCTTTAAACTAGCTGATAGCAGGAAAGATAAGGGAATGTGCCTGTAGATTCAGATCAGGTCTCCCCTCTTTCTTTCCCCTCCTCCCTCCCTCTCTGTCTCTATCAAGCCCCCACCACCACCACCACCACCATTCCTTCCTTGGTCACTAGGGTCCCCCACAGCCCTTGAGATGAGGAGAGCAAGAAGATTGTGGCCTAACCATTTCTTACATCATGAAAGTGATTTGCACACTCTAATTTGATGCAAGCTATAACCTTGTCTCCCGTGTTTATAACTGCTTTTTAGTTTACAATATGTGTTATCTGAAGAGTTGTCTATTACTCACCTGTATAAAATCTTGTCCACTAGGGTTTGTTGCTTTACCTTTGTCTAATTTAGAAAGCACACTCTCAGGTCTTTTCCAGAACAAAGCCTCACAAAAACTCCTTTACCTCCAAGGATTTGCAAATTTATAAAGGCTGCATTGAATTCAAGATGGGTCAGGGGGCAAAAAAAGGGTAGAAGGTCACTGCATTTTTATTATGGGTCAGTAGACAACATGGCATATATTCTGTGCCCCAAACTTCTGTTAAAAACAGGATTTCTAAATGCCTAAGAACAGAAGGATGGGCCCTTTTGGAGACTTACCCTGTTTTGTGTGGCTGAAACAAAAAGAAAAAATTAAGGAAAATATACCAAGTTATAATTTAAGTTGCTCCTTAATTTAGTCATTTCCTTCTCCCTTCATTTTCCCCTCCCGGAAAGCAGAGGGCATAAGATACTAGATAATTTTAGGTAAGGAATTGTTGGCTATCACACAAAATTTTATTGTCCTATATTCTCTATTAAGTCAGTCATATGACACTTTAAATGATTAGACTTTTGTCATATTTCAGTCACTTCTGGTTTACAAGGAGTTTATTTTTTTATTCTTCTGCCCACTATGCTTACATTGTTGAGGCCTTTGTGATGTTCCTCTAATCTTTTCTGTCTGAATTCACTTTGAACAAAATGTGTTTAGCAATCACTAAAACAAATGTATATGGTGAAGAGCTAGGTGGTGGTGATGATGATGATGATGGGGAGGGTGGTTTATCCTCATTTAAATTATGTATGTATGGGCAAAAGGTTGGAAAGGAAAAGGACTATTTTAATGCTCTTCAACACTTTAATTATATGACAGTTGTTTCCTACAAATGCAAACGTACTTTTAGGTTTTCCTTCAGGTTTTCAAAAGAACTTTCCCCATTAGTAAACTACTCCTGCAAATTGCTATTGCATTTCCCAGCTAACCATTTAAAACACTGTAAATGCCATGTGCATTACTTCGCTGCAGAGGAAAGAGGTCAGACTGAATTGCAATAGTATTTAAACATAAAATAAAGTGAAAATATATCAAAACAGAACATCAGAAGGTAAATTTAGCACATTCATACAAGATAGGTAAAGACAAATATGATCATATCTTTATAAGCCATCATTTTAAAAACTCAAAGTGCTGATTTTTTACAATAAATGCAGAAGTAAGTGGACATTAAGACTATGTTTCTATCTGTATTTGTCACAGAGGCTTTTCCTTTAGCAAGCAGCTTTGTTTTTAAAGCTGAAATACTTTTTAATGCTAGTATATGGGTTTACGCATATGTCAGTAAATAATCACTTATTAACAAATTCAATGCCTATCATACATTTGCCTAAATTCGCAATAATTCCCTGCACCTTCCGAGATAGGTATACATATAAAATGTTAATTTGGACACATCTACCCACACATGTATTTGTGCTTGAGAAGCATATAAGGGATATATCTTTCTTTAAAAAAAAAAGGAATTTGAATACAGTCCATCATCTGAATTGGGTTCATCTTTGATTGTAGAAGCGACTGACATGGTCAACAAATTTATCAAAGAAACCCCCTTGCTTTTGAAGAATAGTACTTTATACATCTGGATCTGCACATCCAGGCAAAGTAAGTAAATTATTGCATAACTTTAAGCATAATTGATAACAGACACCTTTAATTTTTCATCCCTATTCTTTTGGCCAGCTTTCACATTAATAATCTAAGCCATAAATGTTGGTAGCTATTGATCGAAATCCCCTGTGTGCATGCAAATCCATCTTAAAGTCCCCTGCCTTTCATGTGTGAGCGCTCAGGGGCCTCTGCTAGATCTTTTTATCGGGATCGACCCCCAATGTGCCCGGAGAAGACCCCGGATATGCAACGTGTGCTGATGGCCACAAGAAAGCTGTCTGTCACATTCTGTTATATGTGTGTATGTATGTGTGTGCATGTGTGGGAGTACCCACACTCACACCTTAACACGTACACAATGATGGGAAGTTAAAGGAACAAAAGAATGTATTAGACAAGAAGAAAGATGTGTAATGGGAGTATTAAAAATGTATAAGTATAAAGGTGTCTGAGTGCACAAGATTGTATATGTAGACACATTTCCCAAATCCCCTGGCCTTTGTTTTTCTCTATTTGACCCAACAGATTGTACCTTTAGTTTAAAAAAAAAAAAATACACTTAATATTCTACTAGTTTTAAAAGCCACACATATTGCCTGTATTTTAAAGGTGGAAAGAGAGGGAGAGGAAAAGAAGGTAATTTTGAGAGGGTTACTAAATCATGTTGCCATGTGCAGGAGGAACAGGAGTATGAGTGTGTGTGTGTCTCTGTGTGTGTGTGTGTGTGTGTTAATCTAAATAGAACAACTAGAACTACCTGGAAAAGAAAGGGAAAAAGGAAGCTCTAGCCAACCATTTGCAATGTTTTCTCAAAGACATTTTCTGAGTTTACTATTTCTTGGCTGTTTGACTCGTAGGTCGAAATCTTAAAGCTGGGGGAGGGGAACTGAACGGAGGTGGGTTGGGAGGAAAAGGGCTGGCACTATATAAGTGCATCAGGAAGAATTTTTAAACATTATTGTTGCTAGCAGTAGAGAGCGTCTGGGCATTCTACTTCAAAAAACAAACACCAGCATCTGCTTTTCGTGGAAACTTTGCTTTCTGCTTATATCTTTTGCATTTTGCCTCTTGTGAAAGTGAAAGAGAAAAACGCGATGTGATAGATCCAGATGCAAAAGAAAGCCAACTCGGTGGATGGTATTAGCTGTGACGAGGCATTGTTCATTGCTGCCTCTCGGTTACGTTTAAAGCTTGAAATATCACGAGATCCATTCAATGATCCTTCTCTCATTCAAAGGACAAAAATGTAATTTGCTGTAGCTCTGATTTCTTGGATGGAAATGCTAGCCTTAGATTTCAAAGGCAAGAACTAGACATCGCGGTTTGTACACACATTGATTAAGTTGAAGAGCTGCGATTACATCTGTGCTGAGTGCAACAGTAGTCCAGGGCTGACTTTTCAAATCCCAACCTCTGAGTTGCAGACTCTCTTAAATAGACTTCCTTAATTTCCGGATGTACTTCTTGAAATTCTCAATTCTCTTCAAAATTCCAGGGAAATTACAAGGGAGATGAGGGTGGGGGTGGGGAACTATGGTGGAGATTCCATGCAAACTACCTTTTTGTATGCCTGATTTCTCTTTTTTCCTCTCTCTCTCTCTCTCTCTCTCTCTCTCTCTCTCTCAGCCCTATCTACTGTGCTAGCCAGACCAGAGCAGGGGAAAGTGGAACTTTTGAATGTGAAGGAAAAAATTATTATACATTTTTTTTTTCTTGCTCAGAAATATCCGTTCATTCTTTTTACACGAATGTGTCTATTTTTGGAGGAACAAGGAAACATAAATGCCTGATTGCATTTATGCTGTATCTGCAAACACTGATTTTGCCGAATTTTGCAGAGCAGCCAAAAAATCGCCTTGGGATCGTGGTAATGCAACTGGAAAGATCCTTGCTCTCATTTGGCAGTATTTTGGATATCCTTGAAAATGATACAAAATACGCTTTGATTTGACTAAGAAGAGGTTAAACAATATTGATATTCATCCAAAGTGATTTTTTTAAGCAAATGTTTGAGACTTTGATGGGGAAAATGGGAGTTGTGGAAGACTCATTAAAACTACCAAGCAAAAGCATCACAGACCACTGAAATAGTCTTCATAGTACATCAGCACTTTCTTTTCATCGTTATTACGTAAAACCTCTGGAAGCACCTTGGGCGTTTTACATTTTCTTTTCTTTGCTGCAGAAGCAATCTGCTCCCTGGAATTCTGACCTGTGGTGAACAGAAAGACTGTACTGGGTACTCTAAAACGATCCCGCCTCCAATCCAGTCTGGTTAATTGTGAAAAGTGTACACATTTCTGGCTTATCTATGCTTTGTTATGGGTCTGACGTGAAACTACCTCCTCCCCACCCCACCCCCCCAGCAGAGAACCAAAATCCAGTTGAATTGTTACAGTGTTTCGGAGCTGGAGCCTTGAACTGCTTTCTTGATCAAATAACTTTGTTTTTGGTTGTAAAACGGCATTTCAGGAAGGAAAAAAAAAAGGAAAATCGAGAGAAATTCAAAACGTAAGTCTGTACTGGGGTGGTTCACAGCGCGGGTTTAACTTTGGAGCTCCCAGCCGCTCTCTTTTCCCACTCCCAAAAGGGAAATACCAGGCTATTCTGCACATTTTCACTTAAGCTCCATTTTCTAAAGGAAAAGGGGGTGGGGTGTATCTATTTAGGCTTGATAATGTTTTTAAAATGCTTTTCTTTGAAATGATAATAGCTGTAGCGGTAAAATGCAAATAAAGCAAAAAATAGGCAATATTCCTTTAAAAGAGAATATACAGGGTTTTTTTTTTTTTTTTTTTTTTTAAGCGTACACACACTGCTTCTGATGAAGTCTCTGAGTCAGGCTGTTTCTGAGCTCCGATAGTTTAATGGAAAGATTTATATACCGACTGTATTATTTACTTTGGGAGGGGAGGTGGCAGTATAAGGGTATGCTAATTAGTGGGAGATTTTGGGGGGAAGGGGTGGAATATCAATTTTTATTGCATCACCTGTCAGGAGTGTCCAATCAGCGCTGGCTTTAGGGGAATTAATTGATGAAGGTGTCTCCGGACGAGCTCACTTCACTCTGTCATTTTATTTGTAGCTAAAGCAGCGGCGGGAATAGCAGCTGCATTTCTTTTCTCTTTCTCCTTTCACATTCCATTATCATAGTGCTCCAATGGAGAAGGAAGCAATAGAGGGGCCCAGGTACTGATCGCACTGGGGACTTAGATCACCACACTGGCAGCCCAGACACCGGATGGTTTTTTCCCTCTTTTTTAAAAAAACGAAAACCAAAAAAAAAAAGCCAGGATCAAGTCAGTGTAATTTCACGTTTGTTTTTTTTTTCTCCCCCCCAATCATTTCGCCTCGAGTTGGGCACTCCTTTCGCCGGGAATAACAGTCTTTGTTATTTTATTAGCAGGATGCCTTGAGACACACGCAGCATCTGGTGGAGGATTAACATCCATACATGTGTATGGACGCGTCACGTATATATTTACTGCAAATGGTGGGGATAATTTAGTGCCCGAGATGGGAGACCTGAAGTCAGGTTTTGAAGAGGTGGACGGCGTGAGGCTCGGCTACCTCATCATTAAAGGCAAGCAAATGTTTGCCCTGTCCCAAGTCTTCACGGACCTGCTGAAGAACATCCCGAGGACGACCGTGCACAAGCGCATGGACCACCTCAAAGTGAAAAAGCACCACTGCGACCTGGAGGAGTTGCGGAAACTCAAGGCAATCAACAGCATCGCCTTCCACGCCGCCAAGTGCACGCTCATCTCCCGGGAAGACGTGGAGGCGCTCTACACCTCCTGCAAGACCGAGCGCGTGCTCAAGACCAAGCGCCGGCGGGCGGGCCGGGCCCTGGCCGCCCCGGAGGCGCCGCCGCCCGAGCGCGCTGCAGCAGCAGCGGCCGCGGGCCCCCGCGCGGGCTTCTGGAAGGACGAGCCCCAACTTTGGCGCGGCCCGAGCGGCGCCGCGCGGCCCCTGCCAATCAGCGCGCAGGCCCCGCGCCCCGCCGCCGCGCGCCCCGCAGCCCAGCTACCTCAGCTCTTCAGCAAATACCCGGGCGCGCCCTACCCGGAGCTGCTGCGCTCGCCGTGCAAGCCCGCCGTCAACTACGAGCCCGCCCCGCTGCAGGGGAGCTACGTCGCCTTCCCCTCGGACCCCGCGTATCTGCGCAGCCTGCTGTGCAGCAAGCACCCGGCCGCCGCGGCCGCCGCGGCCGCGGCCGCAGCAGCAGCCGCTGCAGCAGCCGCCGCCGCAGCAGCGGCGGCCGCCGCCTACTACCAGGCGGCCGGGCCGCCGCCCAAGGTCGCGGCGGGCGCCGGGGGCGCGGGGAGCCTCGCGTACCGCTGCAGGCGCAGGCGCGCGGGCGCCAAGGACGGCCTGCTCGCGCCCCACGCCGGCGCGCGGCGCCTGCTGCTGCTGCCCAGGTCCTACAAAGCCAAGGCGGCGGCGGCCGCGGCCGCGGCTGCGGCGGGGGCCGCCTGCCTGCAGCGGTTCCACCTGGTCAACAGCTTCTGCTCGCCGCCGCCCCACCAGCACCAGCACCAGCACCAGCACCAGCACCACCAGCACCACCCGCACCGCCGGCGCCGGCGCCGCCGGGCCCCGCCGCCGCCGCACGGCCGCGCCCCCCGCGCCCCCCCGGCCGCAGCCCCCTCTGGGCAGCTTTCCCGAGAGCTGCAGCAGCGACTCGGAGTCCAGCTCCTACTCGGACCATGCGGCCAACGACTCGGATTTTGGCTCCAGCTTGTCCAGCTCCAGCAACTCGGTGTCCTCCGAGGAGGAGGACGAGGAGGAGGGAGAGGACGAGGAGGAGGGAGAGGACGAGGAGGAGGGGGGCAGCGGAGCCTCGGACTCCAGCGACGCCAGCTCCGAGGAGGAGGACTCCTCCACCGAGTCCGACTCCAGCTCCGGCTCCAGCCAAGTGTCCGTGCAGAGCATCCGTTTCAGGCGCACCAGTTTCTGCAAGCCGCCCAGCGTGCAGGCGCAGGCCAACTTTCTGTACCATCTGGCCTCCGCCGCCGCTGCAACCAAACCCGCTGCTTTCGAGGATGCCGGGCGGCTCCCCGACCTCAGGGGCAGTGTCAAAGCCGAGGCGCCCGAGGAGTGGAGCCCGCAGAGCTGGGCCCCCAAAACGTCCCCGGTGTACTGCCCGGCCAGCCTGGGGAGTTGCTTCGCGGAGATAAGAAACGAGAGGGTATCTGAGGTGACGTACCCGCGCCCTGAAATCGCCAGCCCTGTAAAGAGAACTGACCTGACAATTAACTGCCTGGCGGAGGGGGCCTCTTCACCTAGCCCTAAGACAAACAATGCATTTCCACAACAAAGAATACTCGGAGAGGCTAGGAAATGCCTACCAGCAACTCCTGCTACACACTGTGCAGATAATAGTAACACAATAGCTGCTAGGTTCTTAAATAACGATGCTTCGGGAGCGGCAGCAAATTCAGAAAATGATTTCAAAATCCTTCATTGTGCTGAATTTGCTACGGATTTGCCCTCTTCGCAAACTGACCCAGAGGTGGATGCTGCTGCTGCTGCCGCAGCAGTAGCAGCAGCAGCAGTAGCAGCAGCAGCAGCAGCAGCAACAACAACTAAAGCGGAGACTCCCTGCACTGACACCAGGGACAAGACATTGCCATTTCTGCACAACATTAAAATCAAAGTGGAAGACAGTAGTGCTAACGAAGACTATGAACCTGACCTTATTACAAATAAGCTAAAGTGCGAGTGCAATGATACGAAGGGGGAGTTTTACAGTGTGACTGAAAGTAAAGAGGAGGACACCTTGCTAACCACAGCCAAGGAAGGCTTTGCATGCCCTGAAAAAGAAGCTCCTTCCTTAAATCCACTGGCTCAGAATCAGGGCCTTTCATGCACTTTAGGTTCTCCAAAACCTGAGGATGGGGAATATAAATTTGGCGCCAGGGTGAGGAAAAATTACCGGACACTAGTGCTGGGAAAGCGACCTGGACTTCAGACACCTCCAGTCAAACCAAATTTGAAATCAGCTAGAAGTCCTCGTCCTACAGGTAAAACCGAGACACATGAAGGATCACTGGATGATTTTACAGTTATAAGCAGACGCAAAAAGGTAGCCAGCAATGTAGCATCAGCAGTGAAAAGGCCATTTAATTTCATGGCAAATTTTCCTTGTCCTCCATCACTCATTATCGGCAAGGATGGGGATTTGTGGCCAGCATATTCCTTAAACACCACTAAGGATTCCCAACCTCCTCACAAGGCCCATCCTATATGGAAATGGCAGCTGGGCGGTTCTGCAATACCTCTTCCACCTAGTCACAAATTCAGGAAATTTAATTCATAAAAGTGTTTTGGAAGATATTTTCTTGAACCGTATTACCTTCCTTTTGTTGTGAACTGCACAGGATGGTTCGTACAAGTCCATTAATACGTTACACCCCTTTTGGAGTCCTGGTTTATCGCATTTTGAAGACAGAAATCGGATTACTTTTTTTTTTTTTTTTCTTTCAGTTGCGGGTTGGTTTGGTGTGTTTTTTTTTTTTTTTTTTTTGGAGTAGGGGGGGAGGGGTGGGAGAAGGGTTGGTTTACATTCCACAGACTACTTCAGGCTAAAGACTCAAGTAAAACTCAGTTATTACGGTAGTGCTGGAACACTTTACTGTTTCAATGCTAATAATACACCCGGTACCTCAATTCAACTGCTACAAATAAATGTCAAAAGGTTGAATAATAAATATTACAATGAGCCATTAAGTTTATGCACTAGATTTCAAACCTGAAACTGTAACTGTTAATTCAGTGAAAGTTTGTTAGGTTACTTGGTTACACAGTGAGGTAGCAAGAAGTTCTGGGAGCCCAAAATGTTTTCTGGAGCTCTTGTTTGTGGGGTATCTTTTTCTTTTTTTTTTTACTCCCCTCATTCCCTCTCCAAGCGTAGTTGCACTTAATTTTTTTTTTTTTTGAGTGGAAAACTGGGGAGTCCAGATTGAATGCTGACAAAGGCTGCCTCATATATATACTGAGAAAAATAAATATGAGATTGTGTATTTTTCGGTAAAGGGTGTGATTTTACTTTTACAGCCACTCCTCCTCCTCGCAATTGTCGAAAAGTCCTTTTTGTGTTCTCACCCAAAGGTTTTTAAATAAGGTGACTCTTACTATTGTCCTGTTTACCTTGTGGTCTGAACATGACTCCTCAAACTTGCAGAACAATTAAAATAGTTGTTTAATAGCAGGATAGTTTATGGCCTGACTCTTCATAGTGTCAATGCAGTCACTAGAACCAGGAAAAATAAAATAGGTCAGAGTTGTTAAAAAAAAAAAAAAATCCCAAGTTAAAAACAAGTTATTTCAGGGCTTTTTGGTACCAGAACTCAGGCACTTGGATTTTATTACCTTTTATTTTATTATTATTATTATTTTTTATTTTTTGCCTGCATCTCCTCAAACTTCTGCTTTCAGACCATCCTGTGTAGAGAGCAAGAGAGTTTCTACTGCAAGTGACAATCAGAGGTGACTATCTATATATTTGCACTTAAAAATCAAAGCAGTTCAACATGCAAAGGGCTAGGGTCTAGCCCTTGGTAAGGGCCATGCTGGTGTACTATGTTGTGATGATGGAAGCAGTGAATCAAGATGATGGAAATTTGCACTGTTGGAAAGCATGCTTTAGCTTTATTTTCCATTAAAAACACTGTTCAAAAGTCCTGGTTCTATACATTTCTACTTATTCGAGATTGAAGAACGGTTAACAGGAATGAATGGTTTTGTTGACATTGTCACATGTAATGTTTTTGCCTCAAAGAAATGCATTTATTGGGTGTATTGTTTTTGTTATAATACCATGTGATGATGCCAGCCAGGTTCTGTGCAAAAAAAAAAACCCACTGATGAATTTCTTCCTAAATTACAACAAAACTTTACAAACTTGTTACAAATTACGTGCAAAAAGTTTCAGGTTTAAGAAAGCGAAGCAAGATCAATTGCTCTTTTAATGAAAGTAAATCCAATAATTTTGGTCTACCTCTCTTAGTCTGACAAAGTATCTATCTCAGATCTTTGCCATCTTAAATCTAAGAAGTTGCATCTATAGCTCACAAATCACAAAATGAAAACAAAAATCAATGAAATGTTTACGGTGTGAATTTAAGTCACATTTCTCATAGAAATTCAGTCTTCCTCCCTCCCCTCCCCACCCCCCACCCTTTAATTCGTACTCCCTTTGAAATTTTTCTTTTGTCTATAAATGGTTCAGATAGATCTGGATGGTCTCAGCTCTAATTGCTGTATATGGCCTGTGGTTTTACTCTTATTGTAAAGGACAAGAGGCTGAGAATACCTGCATCCAAATACATTCGGATGGAGTAAACAGATGCTTTGAACTGCCTCTCTTCCTTTCCTGATTGAATGTGGCCAGATGTAGTTTCACTGAATCCTTCTTTATTGAAAAGATAGATATGGTCAAAGCAAAAAAGAGAAAAAAAAAAAAAAATCGGAGGAGTTATCTTTGAATTCCTGTTTGTGTATAATTCCAAAGACCAAGCGCATGTTACAGTTAAAGCTGAACAATTGGACTCTCAGTCTGAGTTCTTTCCTCTCTGGAAGGCAATATAGAAATTGGGTGCAGTGAGTTGTCCTGCAAAATCTGTAAAAAAAAAGTGTGACATACACACATTGAAGGTCTGTAATTTTCTACTCTTTAATTCCTGCTAAGTCATGAAAGCTCAGAGTGTGGTGGCCATTATATTTAAAACTAATTCTTCTTGGCTATGGAATCATTGTTCCTAAATTATAAATTGAGACTACATTGGAAGCCTCCAGATCTTGGGTGTGGGAGGGCTAGGAGATAGAATAAGCACAATTTAAAACAAATATGCCCTATGGAGTTTCTGACATAAAATATCGGCCTCCAGCTTTTGACACTTGGTCTCCAACCCTCAGAGAATCAATAGTTTCAGTTTATAGGAGCTGGAGAATGAGCAGCATGGAGGCCGAGGCATTCCAGAGTGATACCATCAAAAGGAAAGAAATTAAATAGTCAACACAAATTTCACCCCACAGTACTACTACAAAGCAGCCAACCACAGCAAAACCTGACGAGGGGCTCCCGTTAGGAAAAGTGTACCAAACAGCCTTCAGTCATTTGCAAATATAAGCTATTCTTTCAATTTCTGGTCATCCCTCAGCTGTTCTCCAGTTCTGTTACAGAACTTAATTCTCAGTCAGTCCAACTGATTCTTGGTTGTTTTATGACTGATGACAACATCTAGGTAGGTTAAAAATGTAAAATGTCCCATTTGTTCAAAAAGTTTAGCCTTATTAAGAGATAAAAGTTACCTCCATTGATTGCGTTTTTTACATTTAAATGTTTTCAGGTGATAGACTTTTTTTTTTTTTTTTTTTTTTAAGGCACTCTATGGTCCCAAGGTACAGATTCCTGGTCTTGAAACTCAACATTTCATAGACCTGAGGAAAATGCTGGAAAGGGTTCTTTCTCTGACTTTTTAGGAAAACGAGCTTATTTTTGGTCTCCTGTAAAAGCAGTTTCCTGATAAGACTTTGAAATGAAGATTTAATTATTATTTTTAAAGAGATATGTATAAGCTGTCTTCCAGTCAGGTTATCTGCCTTTTTAGAAAAGGCAGCTTCCTCTTTTTCCACTATTTACTTTTTTAAAAGTGGGTGTTCTTTTCTACTGACTTACTTGATTACAGTGGAGTAATCTCAATAATGGTTGTTTATTTTAAAATCAACAACAAGGAGCCACCACTAAACAGCAATAACACAAACTCCTTGGGCTGGTGTGTGGATTTTTATCTTATCCATGTCTGGGTGAACTTTCAATGGTCTAGAAATTCCTCAAAGTTCCAGTCACAAGAATTGGAAATTTCTGCTGATAAGAGAATGATAGTTTAGTTTGCATGCAGGAAGAGATGTAGACTAATTCCTCAAAAGTTTTTTTTTTTTTTCCTCCTTTCAAAGAAAACAAAATTCCTCCAGGATGAGAAAACATTTTTTTTTAAATAAAGCATTAGCATCTATAAAAGACAGAAAATGTGGTGAGTTTTACTTCACCTTGAAAATAACTTCCTGCTGAAAAGGATGTGAAAAAGTGAGCTCCTAGAGTCAGGGAGGTTGGAGGGGAGGGGCGGGGTGGGGGGTTGTGCGAGGAGGAGGACTTTGGGGGAATGAGGTTAAAGGCTCCCCATCAACTAACCTCAGGAAATTGGCTAGAGGAACAGGGCATCCACCTTAGGGAGTCCACCGGGTCACACCATCTTCCCCAGGATTTTCCCCTTTTCCTGTAAGGAAGAACTATTTTTAATGCTAGCCTTGGTTTTGGTTTGCTCCCTAGGCCAAAGGGCATTTTGCAAACTAGCCTGGGGGGTGAGGACGTCAGGCAGATCTAGGAGATGGGGGAGGGCTGCATTTTACCTGTTTGGCAGGCCCTCTTTTGCTAAAGAAGCAAAAAAAAAAAAAAAGGGGGGGGCTGCTATCATTCTTTGCCCATGCCCTAGGCCCCCGCTCTTCTCTCGCTCCTTTTCAAACTGTGGCGGCCTCACAAGCTCCTACTTTAAAAGGCCTGAGATGTTTTGCATGAAGCCCTCACAATAGGGGTTGAGGGAATTGACAGTTTCAAAAACAAGGCGTTCAGTCCTTTCCAGCTGCCAGGCCAGCTCTCTCGCACCAACTCCTAGTTCCTCTCTGCTGGTGGCGTCCTCTGGAGCAAGCTGCCTTCCCCCACCCAGCCAGCTTGCATTCCGGCCGCCCCACCCCGCCCCCAGGCTGTGTTTGTAAACAGGGGTCAGTGTCCAGGGGCTGCAGGCGCGGGGTTTGGGCCTGGTGGGCTGGAAGGCAAGGCAGGGGACTGCGGAGCAGGCGAATGGCGGACCCCGGGGCCGAGTGGCTTCCAGGGTTCCTTTCTCCCTCGTTTTCCACCTGGGCGCAGAACTCTGGGTACTTGTGCTCCCCCAGGGCAGCCCTCAGCTCTCTGGCCAGGGCTACCACCGCAGAAAGAAGTTTAAATACCGCCATTTTACATGGCTGCAAATAAATTTCTTTGTGACTTTTTTTCCCCCCTCCCGCCCAGATCTTGCTACCCTCTGAATTTGTGAAGAACTCACTCTGGGGCGCAGGAGCCTGCACCCTCTACTGCAGAGCCCCAGCGCATCTCTTGAGCACAGCTTGAAGTCCAGAGATGTTGTGGCCAGGCCTACCCAGGGCAGGGAGCAACAAGGCCCAAGGCTGGCCTCGGTGCCTCCCCTGAGGCTGGTCTTCAGGCACTGGACTGCTTCTCTCACGTTGTGCTCCTTTTGTGCTTTCAGGAGGGTATCTTCTCCCCTCCCACCCCCTTACCGCCCCTCATGCTCCTGCATACACCACCTAGTCACCTCTCACCTAGCTCAGGCCTCATCTTTCCCCAAGGCAAACACACACACACACACACACACACACACACACACCCGCCGCCCTTTTTTTTTTTCTTTTCTTTCTTTTTTTTTTTTTTTTTTTGCATTAGGCCAAGGCCTCCAAAGCCTGTGTAGAACACAAGTA